ATACGATTCGCGGAAGACTTCTATCACATGACTATACCCGCTTTAGTCCATTTTAAATGGTAACAGGGTGTAAGGCAAACAAATAAGGAAAACATTTAACGCCTGTTGTAAATATATATACAGAATAACCAAAACAAATAATTATAAAAACATACAATTATTAAAATCCGCATGTAAAAGCAAAAAAGACAACAAAATGAAAAAAAAAACGAAAAAAAAAAAAACATTTAAATTTGCAATACAAAATGAGAGAAAAAAAAAATTGAACGAGTGAAAGAGAAATTAATAAATGTGTGCAACATGCGACTAAAACAATGAATAATAAATAACTGCACAATTCCGAAATGCAAATGCCAAACAAGACAGACTCGATAGGTGGAGTGGGAGTGGTGGGGGGGTGCTGGATGTAAGGCGAAAGGGCAAGGGTTAAGCGCAGTCCGCCTCATCGGGGGCAAACAGCATGCAAATTGCAAAATGCAAAATGCAAAATGCGAAATGACAAATTGTGCGCACTCCGAAAATGGCAAAGTTTATTTAAGCGATTTGTTCGTTCGTTTGTTTGTTTGTTTTATTTGCTTTGTTTATGTTCTTTTGCTTTTGTTTATTGTTTAATTGATGTGCAGCATTTGAATTCGGTTTGAATTGAGCTGGGCAGCAGCGCTCGCTGCATATCCAGGTGTTTCGTATAACAGTTTAGCTGCTCTGCTTTAACAATTTCAATTTCCCAATCAAATGAAATGAAATGAAATAAATATCAACAATTCCATTTGCCACTTTAATAGCCCAAATGGCTATTGGCAGAGCATTAAATCAATTCGCTGCTCTTTTACCATAATCCAAACATATTTTGTACTAAACGAACTCTGATCATAAATAGAACTAATAAATTCACTCTGTGCAGGGTAGAGACGGGAGTATTACGCCATCGGCCATAGCCGACTGTAATAATTTGCATTAACATGTGTCCTAATTAAGCCAACCAATTGGCCAAATGCTTGCTAATTACGAACTAAAACCCATTAAAACGCGAAACGAGCAAGTCGAACGGAGCGAGTGCCATCAATTATCGATGCTGAATAAAATTTGGATCACTTTGAATATTTTATTTTTTATTGACATTTTGGCCATTTGTATATTGCTTATTTATATTTTTTATGCGCTTAATACTCCTTCTCGACGAGTGAATTGGGTATATTGGTTTTGTGCAATGTCCACCCGACTGTCCGACTGTCCTGCTCTCTGTCCCTCTCTCTCTCTCTCTCTCTCTCTCTGTCCGTATAAATGCCAACCATTTCGCGGCTATTGAGACCAGATACTTGAAGTTTGTACAGTGAATGGGTATGCCTCAGTCGGTACCGCCCGACTGCCACTTGCTTTTTTTATTAAATTAAATTTAGCGATTTGTTGGCATTGTTGCGGGCCATGTTGCTCGTGTGCCACGGCAATTAGGCTTAAATGCTTTTTAAATGTATTTTGATTGCCGGTAATTGAGCGGGCGAGCGCCAATTTTTTATTTGGCATTTGATTGGGGGCTGCCAACTCGTTTTGCTTCCATTTCGGTAACGCGCAATTTGTAACTCGAGGCTGTCAACTGAGTGTCTCACTTGATTTTTGCTTTTAATTGAAAATAAATTAAATTTGAACACCCAAGCAGGCTCTAATTGTGTGCGTGCGAGAGAGAGAGAGAGAGTGTGTGTGTGTGTGTGTATGTGTATGCATGTTAATTTTTTCCACATGCAATTTGTGGCTTTAAATTAAAATAATCGAATAGCAGCAGTAATGGGATAAATACTAAAAAAAAAAAAAAAGGAATCAATAAAAATTACAGATAAAAAAAAAAAAAAATGAAAAAACGTCGCTTTAAATTTATGGGTTGTGGCACAAACAGAGAAACAAATGAAATGAAGTGGAAAAAAAGAAAACTAAATAATAATAATAGAGAAATCTACTAAAAAGCGCATTGTTGCATTCTGTTTGTTATATATTGCAATTGTGTCATACTGTCATACTGTCATACTCACTTACAAGCCAAATAGCAAACAATGCAAACTGAAAGCAAAAACCAAATATTTGACATAAGTTCATGTAATTACGATTAAGCCCTACTTCAATGTAAACTCTTTAATACTATATCAAAACAAAAGAGGGAATTAAAAAACAAAAACAAAAAAATAATAATATCCAAAACAAGAAGAAAAAAATTAAACGTAAATAAATAAATAAGTAAGAAATACCACTAAAACCACTAAATAGTAATGAATACATATAAAAAGAAAAACAAGAAGAAATCAAACTAAATAATTAGATACGAATTCTTTTTTTTTTTTTTGGATCGATTTCTAGTTGCATAAGTCAAACTTTAGCATTTAGGATCAACTAAATCTAGTCTAAATATAATAAGTTTTAGTCAACCAATATATGTAAATGTTAATTAACTGACCGTTGAGGGCATTTACATCTATGTATAACAGTTTATGTAATATGCAAGCATCTAAATATATACAGAAATACTATGTGTGTATAACAGTTTTTGATGTACGATACGCGCTACGCGAATTCTCATATATATACATACATACATGTGTGCATAAATACATATATATAAACATGTTTTTTTTTTTGTGTATTACAACAATAAAGAAAAAACTCATATTGAATGTAAAAGAAAAACCAAAATGAACAACCAAGAAAAAAAACACAGTTCGCATTATATATATATATGTACTATATATATATATACATAAAATAAA